AGCAGACTCTGATGTTGCCCACTGCGTAGCTCGGCCCGGGCTCTGGCCATGCCCTAAACCCTAAACCCTAAACCCTTTTAAGGTTTAGGGCTTGGGGTTTAGGGGTTTAGGGTTGAGGCCTGAGGGTTTAGGGGTTTAGGGTTGAGGGGTTTAGGGTTGAGGGGTTTATGGTTTAGGGGGAGTAATTGTAGTTTAGGGTGTGTAGGACCTTCAGAAACCGTGGAAACCTTTTGCACTTCAACCGCTAGTGTAGTCCTGCACAGCCCTTTGTACTCCAGTTCTTGACTCTGCACATGGTTTGTTGTAAGGATGCGATTCGGAAAACAACGCACTGGATCCCAATGGGGAGGTCTAAACATACCTTACATAATTGGCACTAGTACCATCCTCTTCCGGTCCCTATATGGCTGTATTGTATTGTGACCCCAAACCCAGTCTACGTACTAAAGCCCTTACGCTGAGAACATCACTGAGATCGCTGAACATCCTGGAGACACATTGCGGCGACGCCCTCGCAGCGAGCGAGCTGCTACCGCTGCCCTGCGCCCCATCGGGCAGTTAAGGAGGAAATGCAGTTGAGGGCACGTGTGTGTATGCATAGGTATGTGTTTATCAAGTTTTCAACCTATGCATTTGCTTTTGTACTCGCTGTTCATGTACCCTGACTAGAGCATGGAGACATTCGCATGCATGCTCCGTAAGCAGAACAGCTGAACGACTTACGTCTGTGTACATTCATATGAATGAATGTGTGTTCATGAGCTGCAGTTTCGAACCTCTGCATGGATGTACTTTGCAACGTCGCCTGTGTTCGACAAAAGGTGTTAAAATCATGTAAGAACTTTTTTTGGGAAGGAAAATACACAAAGGGGTTGAAATCACAGGAACCTTTATTGCATAGTTTTACGGAGTGATACCCGAGTTTGCCAGTTATGGAACCCTCGCTTCACCAAAAATCCCAAAGACTGGTTCTGGAGCCCGTACCCCTCGATTAAGCTACCTAGCTTTATGAGTAGGATCTAGCTGTTATATAGAAAAGTGAGTACCCTAAAAAAAGAGGGGTCGGGTATGACCCAACCCTGAACCCTAAACCCTAATCCCTAAACCCTAAAACCCTAAAACCATAAACCCTAAAACCCTAAACCCTGTAGACCTTAAACCCTAAAACCCTAAGCCCTAAAACCCTAAACCTTGAACCTTAAACCCTAAAGCCCTAAAACCCTAAACCCTAAAGCCCTAAGCCCTAAACCCAAAGTGCTACACCACAGCTCCCCTGAACCGCAAGGCTTTCCGAAGGGTGCAACCCCAAGCTCGGCAGCCTGTACCCATAGGCCCCATAGTAGTTCCTTTTTGGGATTACCGAATAGAATCCTATGTTTGAACCCCAAGAAGGAACTACTTTAGGGCCTATGGGTAACCTCAAGCTCTGTAGCCTGTAGCACGAAGTGCCATGCTAGGCCCGGAAGCCCATATAACATAGTGCAATTTAGGGTTTTGGGCTTCAGGGTTCAAGGTTTGGAAGTTTAGGGTTTAGGGTGTAGGGGTTTAAGGTTTAGGGGTTTAGGGTGTAGGGCTTTAGGGTTTAGGGTTTAGGGTTCTTATAAAACATCATATCACAATACGGTATAATGCAATATACGAATTTATGATATAGTCATATATGGTATAATGTAAGTATACCTACCCAAGGGCTCCTATGTAGTTCCTTTTTGGATATTATACTATAACTCCTTACCAAAAAACCTAACATACCCAAAAAACGAACTACATTGGAGCCCCTGGGTA